TTTAAGCTGTAGAAAAAAGGTGTTTTATAACTTTCAGTGCATTTTAGAGGCCATTGCAATGAAAGTAACAGACTAGTTCTGTAAAGGAGTAAGAGATAAACACAAATGGGAAATTTAAAATTTACCTATAATGAAAGGAGTTCTAATAAACATTAATATATATTCAATAATACTACTAGGTTTGGATGTGCTGCTTATGTAAGTCATCATTTTATTTAAATTAACAAAGGAAACCATAATTTTTAGTATGAAAGAAATATTCAAGATTATACCCATGAATTTGACTGAAACCATAGTAGGACTTAAATTGTATTGATCTAGAAATAGGGTTTGGTAAACCATGGATTTCTAGGCAAGCTGACTCTTTTTGACACCAGCTGTCTTTGGCTGCTTTTCTGCCACAATGACAGAATTGAGAGGTTGTGACAGAGACAGTGTGGCATGCAGAGTTTACAATGTTTACTACTTGGCCCTTTACAGAAAATGTGCCAACCCCTGCTCTAGAATGAGATGTGGATTTTTTTTTTAATCTAGTTAAAAAGCACGCATAAAACTGGGAAAGTTTTACAAATCAAAGCACTTCTTTTGTTGTGACGGGGATTTTAAGACATGAAAAATGGAGTCATCTTCTGGTTATAGGAAGTGTTTTTCATGACATACTTTTTTTCCTTTGATTCAGGTATTTTCAGATGAATCAGTTAGTAAAACTAGAACAGCTAGTAAAGCTAAGAGGTTCTCTATCTGTGAAGCTTTTAAGAGTATAGGTCGCTGAAATTTTTCCTATCTAAATTTACGATGGGGACTGGGCACTTTTTTAAAAAAAGAAAAGACACTGCTGAACCTTAGATGATTAGAGGAAACAACATATTGTAAGTATGATGGAAGCAATATAATGGGTATGTTTATTCCCTAGCACCGTGTTTTGAAACTTCAATAGTATTTATATATGTAGTATTTATATATAATGCTTCACTATCTGAGAGTGATATAGTATTGTAGTTTAAGTAGAACAGATGGTAATTCTAGGCTAGACATAATAAGGAATATTGCTTTTGGGATACTATGTAGTGTTCTTGGCATGGCAGATTTATGAATTCTTTAAACTATGTTGAGTATCTACTGTGTCTCAGGTACTCTGTAAGGCGACAGATAAAAAGATGATTATGATTCAGTCTTTGTCAATAAGGAGTAGAAGTAGCTAGACATATAAATAAGTACTGAATTAGTGTGTTATAATTGCTGTGATAGAACCTAATAGTGCAAGGCAGGAGGTGAATAGTTACATCTTGAAGTGAAGGTTAGGAAAAGATTTATCAAGGAAATAATGATTTTAAGATGACCCGAGAAGTCTTAAAATTTTTTTTTACTGAACTGGATTTAGGGCTGATATAAACAGTGAATCCGGCTCTGCCTATTTTATCATAGGGAAGCTTTGCAAGGGTAGCTTTTTTATTATCATTCCATAATATATCACCTGTCAACTCAACTTGATATAGGTGTCAGTGGTAACTGGATTGAGATCGCCTATGGTACGAGCTCTGGAGCAGTACGAGTGATTGTACAACACCCAGAGACAGTTGGATCAGGTCCTCAGCTTTTTCAGACTTTCACAGTTCACCGAAGTCCCGTAACAAAAATCATGCTATCAGAGAAGCATCTTGTATCAGGTAAGATAATTTCGTTAGTACTGGTAAAGAACTTGGCCTTGTGTGTTATTTTCTGTACCCGCACAAATTAAAAGAATGAAAACGCAGTGTTTATGTGAGAAAAATATACTAGAAGTACTAGAAAAGTTTAATAACTAAGGAAATTATGATCGTCTTTTAAAGATTTCTTTGAGCTGGTCATAGTGGCTCACGCCTATAAATCCTAGCACTTTGGGAGGCCAAGGCAGGTGGATTGGTTTAGCCCAGGCGTTCAACTGGTGAAACCCCGTCTCTACCAAAAAAGAGAAAAAAAAAGATGGTTTTTATTTTGCCTGGTTTTAATATACATAAATTTAGGAGGTGTGATTTTTTTTTTCTCTTGGCGTATCTTATTGCAAAATATTTATTTTGACCCTGCTAAGAGGAATTTTTATTAAATTTTTCAACTTTTACTTTTAATATAAATCAGGTTATCTTATGGTTTAATGCTAAAACTGTAGATTTAAATGTGTATTTTGATATTTTGTCATCTCATAAAAATAATCAAATTTAAAATTATAGAGATTATTTGAAGAAAACCTTTTCATGGGTTTGTAGTTCTTTATAGTCATATAAAATTTTAAAAAATTTAAATACTAATTGGATACATAAAA